CACTCACTGTGGGTGCATCTTGTAGAGGGAGCCATCCACGCCCACGGTGGTGCGCAGGCGGCCCACGCCCTTGTTGTCCCTCAGCTGGTTGAGGATGGCCCCCAGCGTGGAGGCCACCAGGTTGGCGGAGCGGAAGGACACGATGGTGCACACGTGCTGCACAGCGATGCAGTCCTCGGGGGACGGCTCCACCCCCAGCCTGGTCAGGATCTCTTTGGCTTTGTTCAGGCCTTCTTTGCTCCTGCAAAGCAAAGGGGACTCCTCAGGGGGTGTGTGCTGGGGCTGCAGGACTGAGGGACCTCCAAACATGGGTGTCCCTGCCTGCCCGGGGTTTGAGAAAGTTAGAAAGAACATTTCTTAGAGATCAGCACTAGAACACTCCATGGGGATTGGAACATGCATTCATTCACAGATGGAAAAGCTTTCCATTAAACTGTTCCCACTAAAACCTGTTTCCACCAAAGCCTGTTTCCTGGTGCCACCTACAAACACTGCAGGTACCAGGTACCACGTGCCACCTACAAACCATGCAATCCCAGGTACCACAGCAGCCGCACCATGGGGAGGACCTGGAGGAATTCAAGTGTTTTTTCATTACAGTGATGCTTGAAACTGCAAATGGCTTCTCTTGAGCATGAAGCAGCAGCCCCACAGTTCAGCACACCTAATCCCACACTCATTCCTTTGCATGCCTGGATAAATTAAGCCCAGTGTGAAAGACAAAACCCTAAGCAAAGGTTGCCTAAGCAATTTCATCCTAACGGGTCTCTTTTCAGGCTTTTACAACCCCACTGAATCTCTGCCTCTTACATTTTATTTTTCCTCATTAGCATCCAGCCTGAGAGCAAATCTTCTGGCCAAAGTTCTCCTTGTCCAGCTCAGCCATTTCCCAGACAAAAATAAAATGGTATATATCTTGTCATCCCTAAGTGCACTCCATACATCTTTTTAAGGACTCTTCCATCTTGCTAGCACCAGCTAGAAATTTGAAGCTGTACAGGCATGTACCCCCCACTTATAACCAAAGTGCCTCTTCAGGAAGTAAGGTGGGGTTTCAGGGCAAATTTTTCCTCTTTGTTACTGAATTTCTCAATAATTGCATTTTTCTCACTGCCATTCAACATTACTTTGGTCCACAACACAGACCTCTGTGGTTAAAACAAATTAAAAGCTAAAATTTAATGAAAAGCTGTTCAGACAACATGGTCTGCAGGGAGAGGAGTAAACTGTGGCAGGAGGAACAGGAATTGTAGAAGTTACTGGCTGTTCTCTCTGAGTCGTACTTGCCATTTCAAAAAGAAAATCCAGCCCAATGACTATGGTACCAACTATCCCAGTGATGTGAATTTTAAAAACACAGGGGGGAAGAGCCTGTGAGTACTGAGCAAAGGGGTGATGACACTCTAAGAAACCAACTGGCACATAGCTCAGAGGTCACCGTGCAGCACCCAGCCCTGCCTACGAGACTGAATGCTCTGCCTTGTCACACTTGTTTTCCTCCTGCCCAGCAATCCCAGGGATACAGCAAGGAGCAGCACAAGCATTTGCTAGGAGGCACTAAGCCAGCTCACTGCCATGTTTAGCTGCAGGGGAGCAGCTCTGTGAGCAGTGAGAGAGGTACTGCAGCTCGTACCCTGAAAGCTGCGTGGACTGGCAGACTTTAGAGTTCCTCCCAACACAGAAGAAGGGAGAAATCTCGGGGAGGAGGGCACAGACTGTCTGCTGGGGGTCCCCACATGCCAGCTCTATGCAGGCAGTAGAGAATGGCAGATATCCCCAATGCAGCACACAAAGCGACAAGAACAGGAAAATTAACATTCAGAGTCACTGTGAAGCCCAAGGACTGAAAAGGGATACATTACTCACTTTTCAATGGCAGAAACATGCTTTGTCTCAAACTTCCCTTTGGTGAGAAGCTCAGGGGTGATTCTCCCCTCAAAGAGCAGCCCCTCCTTGGCCATCTTCACCAGGATGAGCCTTACCAGCTCCCCCATGTACAGCCCACTGACCATCTTCTCAAACCTGCAGGAGAGGACAGCAGTCACCCACGAATCCACGGGCAACACTGGGAAGCAGAGCCCACCCAGAGCCTTGCCTCACCACAGGCAAAGCTTTACTGAGCTGCAGAATTGCTAACACAAGAGGGAAATGGGGCACAGAACAGAAACCAAACATCCACAAATGACTCACAGCTGCTTGCCAGGATTCAGGGATCCGCGGTCAATCTCCCGATCGAACTCGGTCCTGATGTCTTCCAGCGAGCCATCGTCCCCAAAGGCCCCCCACTCTGTGTTGATGCACATCCTGCCCTCGTCCCCCTCCACCAGGTCGATGTGCCTCATCTCCTCCATGTAGCAGGCGTTGGTGCCCGTGCCTGGGGGGAAGCAGAGCAGGAGGTGCTGAGCAGGCCGGGCAGAGGCAGAGGCCGAGGCAGAGCAGCCCGCGCCCGCCCCGCGCGTTACCGATGATGAGGCCGACTTCGCAGCGCTGGTCGTCAAAGCCACAGGTCATCATGGTGCCCACGGTGTCGTTCACCACTGCCATGATATCTGCGTCGTAGTCCTGGGGAGCAACAGGGCAGGGGCATTTTGGAAAGAGTTCTCAATGAGTTACAGACAGGAGCTCTGAGTTGCTTGTGATGATTTTGGTTTATTTTTTTATCTTCGATGTAGGTAGGAAGGGTGAGTTCGGCTCACATCTTTACTGCGTGGTTCAGAAGGTCACAAGACTCCTAGTTACAAGGATTTATTGACTAATAAAACACTATATATGTTTCTGACTCAATCATTAAATATTTCATCTTATGGACTCATGCTACAGTGTAAGCTTTCTTTGTCAATCATATTATAACAAATAAACCTACAGTACTGCATTCTAAACTTCTTGTTTACCCTTGCAGCTACTTTCATTTTTATGTTTTAAACTCTAAACTTTCCTCCGCTTAGCTTAAGGTGTTTCTGTTTCAAACTATAAATCCACATTCTTGCTTCTAGCACCTAAGTTTGGAAGCTTTTCCCAAGGTCTCAGATCAAATCTTGTGTTTAATTCTAAACTTTGGCTGTCAGGCCCAAAGTTCTGAGAATTCCCTGCATTTCAAATTCCAACAGCTTGGGCCACAGGGCTGCTCTGGAAAACGCTGCTCCTGTTCCTCACTGGTTTCCTTTCAGCAAAGAGTCTCACAAGGAACAGGAGATAAATAATCTGTCTGAATACCACAGCTCATCTCTTAAAATATTCCCTGTTCTGTCTGCCAGCTCCCCATCCCACGTAGCCAAGAAGGCAGTGAGAGCAGACGAATGCAAGCAATAAAACAGCACCAGGATCACTCTAGAGAGCACAGGCCTGCTCTCACATAAGCACACAGGCAGGAAAGAAAAGGGCTATACATGAGGGAGAAGGAGCTTTGCACTGAAACATCATGGAATAGTTTGAAGCTATTGCTTGAAGTGTCAATCTAAAAAATGTTTCTTATACATCCACTTAAATCATCAATGTGTTTTATTTCAAGTGAAGATTTTAATGCAAAAATAATGTAATTAAATAAATTACACGCAGCCATTCCTTTCCAGGTTCTTCCGTGTGTGAGATTCTGCCAAGTCTAATAATAGTAACTGACTCCTGTAATGTTGTTTGGTGAGGGCAAAATTCAGGTTTGCTTGAGTCCACAACTGCCCAAAGAAAGCAAATACTTCACAGTTTCCAATGAATTTTTGGATGCTGAGTAATCAACATATGACCTGGCTGCAAGCATTATGCAAACCCAGATTCATTCCCTCTCACACTCAGTGCCTTTTTATTTGTTTAAATCAGCGAGCTAGTCACCTTGACTCTCTATAAAGTCAACACAGAGGAACTGCAGGGAGCAAGAGCCTGCTGAGCCTGAAATCCCCTTCTCCTCAGCTCAGCTCCTCTCCTGCTCCCACGCACAGCAGGTGCACAGCTCAGCTGAGTCCAGGAGAAAAGGAGAAACAAGTTTCTCGGGAATGGGACTTAGTGTTGGTATCACTGAAAAGCCACAGCACTGCCACACAGCACTTCTTCAGTATTTGAAGAGTGATAAAATCACTGAAGGTTGCCAGCAAAAATCCACGACACAGCAACTCAGCTCAGTGCTGTGAGGAGAATCACAGCTTCCGCACGGCAGCTCTGGCGCCGCCTCGTTTCTCCAGCAAACCCACGCACTTTCATGCACGGAAGCAGAGCTCCACCACCACTCAGACCACCTGCTCAAGTGAGTGACATGAAGAGAGGTCCCTGACAAAGCTGAGATGCAGCTAAAAGAGAAGAAGTAGTGCAATTTACCCCGCGTTTCTTGATGGCCTTGTTGAGCAGCCTCACGACGTCTGCTCCCTCCACTCCGCTGGCTTTGAAGCGCTTCGTCCAGGTTATCAGGAAACCCTGAGAAAACAACACAGCAACACTCAACATAAGACACACACTGATTTTTTTCTTTTTCCTTAAAAACAAGGTTTTATACCTCAAATGAATCTTCAGGTTTCTTCTCTCACATGACCTCTGTGACTGTGTTCACAGGGGTCTGAGTATGAGGGAAGAGACGAGGATCTGACTCCATGTTTCAGAAGGCTGATTTATTATTTTATGATATACATTATATTAAAACTATACTAAAAGAATAGAAGAAAGGATTTCGTCAGAAGGCTAGCTAAGAATAGAAAAAGAAAGAATGATAACAAGGGCTTGTGTCTCAGACAGAGAGTCTAAGCCAGCTGACTGTGATTGGCCATTAATTAGAAACAATCACCTTGGCCCAATCCCAGATGCACCTGTTGCATTCCACAGCAGCAGATAATCATTGTTTACATTTTGTTCCTGAGGCCTCTCAGCTTCTCAGGAGGAAAAATCCTAAGGAAAGGATTTTCCATAAAAGATGTCTGTGACAGACCTCTAACAACCCAGCCTGAGACAACTGGTGATCTTAGAGCCCAATTACAGTGAGATGAAAGATGGAAAATTCTTTTCCCCCCTCCCTTGCTAGAAAATGGTGTGTTTGCATTTTGTATTTTCAGCCTACTCTTCTCCCTGCTACTCCTCGACAGTTTTTCTTGGAAAACCATTTAATCCTTTTGGGCCATGGAGATAGAGTGCTTTCAGAAAAAGCTGACTGTACAGGACTGACTACAGAGCAGGGATGTGATGCTGGCATGTCCAGGATTCAGCTGCAGTGGGGATCAGGCTGCTGCACATTCATTGCCTGGACTCCCATCTGTCTGGGCTTGTTTAACTGTGGGATTGTGTTTATGGGTTGAGGCAAATGAAAATACTGCAGATGTAACAATGCATGCCCCTACTTTACAGCACAGATCAAAAAGGAAAGCCTGGTATTGAATTCCTTGCCTGCAAACCATCCTGAGGAGCCTGCAAATCCCCCAAGGTAATGACTACACTGATTTTTTGCTATTTGCATAATTCCTGGCTGAATCAGAGCATTCAGTGTACAGGTAAATAATAATAAAAGAGGGAAAAGAGTATTGACAGTAATCAACTGACAGAAGGACAACTCAAACCAGCTCAGCTTTCCATACCCACCACAATATTCACATCTGTCACAACAGGAGTCCAAGCAGCTAAAAACCAGAAAAGCTGAAGCCTGTAGGCACAAGCAGCCATTGCCCAAGTGTATGTTTGCCCATATCTCAGCTTAAAAGTCAAATTTTCCCTCCAAACTGAGACAGCTACAGGGAACAGAGGGTGGGGCAGCTCTTTCCAGACAAGGAGATACTCTCCTACCCCTCGACCACAAACTCAGTTTGTGCAAGTTTTCCCAATGTGCTGCCCTTGTGGGCACCATTTAGAAACCCAGCAAAGCCCCGTGCTGCTGTGCAGGGAAACTGTGGGCAAAGCTGGCACAGCCTTCATGGGCAAAAAGGGCACCTTGTTTCACTAAACTTTTATAAGAAGCTGGTCAAACCACACTGGCAAAGAGCAGCTCCTCTCAGCATGACTGAAGGAATTTCTCCTTCCCCAGCAAAGCCTTGGCAGCACAAAGGAGCCCTTGGAATGCAGCAGGGTTGAGTGGGGCCCAACCATCAGTGCCCATCTTATCACCCTTGGAGCAAACAGGGACCACCTTGCCTCCTCCTGCTCCCCAAGCACAAGAAAACAGCACTCAGGCAAGCACAGCCTCACAGAAGCAGCAATCCAAGAACAAACTTGGCCCACAGAATCCAGAAAAAAACATTTTTCAAAGACTCAAAACACATCAGCAAAACTGTCAATATTTTTTTTTTGTTGTAGGATTTCTCTTCAAGAGGAACCCTCCCTTGCCTTGTTACTGCCCCACTCCACTCTGGCACTGCTCAGGTGTCCCCATGGCACCCCTGGTGCTGCCTATCCCTGTCCCACACGAGCAGGACTCCATCCCAGCTGGCCTGAGCAAACCAGCCCACAAACAAGCACCTTTCATCATGCAGCAAACAAACCTTCCCAAGGGCAACTCAATTTCACAACCACAACACGGCTCTGCTGTGGTCAGGAGCCTCACTATGCACCAGAGCCAGGTGGGAGAGCTGCCCCAGGATCAACTCATCTCCTCTGATTGATGCAGGTAAAGGCAGCTCTCTGCTCTGAACTGCTTCCAGACCCTCAGTCAGTCAGCACCCTTGGGTGCAGCTCTCAGCACTGCCCAAGTATGAAATGTAATGAAAATCATGGCCTCACCTGCCCTCCTCAGCACCAGCATCTGGGGGGCAGTTGCACCACACTAACCTAGAGACCTGCAAGCTGGAAAAGCAGGCCATGCTTTAACAGGGCAACCTCTGTGTGTTTTGTGCAGATTTAACTTTCCTGCACTTTTTGCTACACCGTTGCCATGGCAATGCTGTACCAGGAGCCTGCTGAGTCATTTGTGGTACAAGGAGCAAAAGGAGGAAAACACCACAGCATCCTTGCCATGGGAATGTCACCAGCCA